TAGGTGTTTTTTTTTGGCTTTTTTTTGTTCGTTTGGAATAGAGAGGGCGGCGAGGCCACAATAGATGAGGTGGCCGGTATATTTTACTGAGGCAGTGATATGTGGCTAAGAACTGAATGAGAGGGAACCAATCTGAGGAAGATCTGGGCATTCCAGGCAGAAGGACCAGCATTTGCAGAGTCTTTACCTCTGCATCTGTAGATTTCATCCTTTTGGGGAATCATAGAACGCCGTCCCCCACCCAGTGTTGAGAATCTGAAAATTAGCTATGGATCCTTGCCCCAGAAGAGTGTGCAAATGCGCAGCCACACAAATTTGCATCCTATTTCTCTAATTCTTGAAGCCAGGGAACTTCAGAAAGATTTCCTGCCCTGACTGGGTTCACATTAAGGACAGAAACAGTGTCTACTACTGATATCTAAAACGCTCTGTACAATGTTCATTATCTCTTTGATCCCTGGGAACCTCCCCTTGAGGTAGGTAACAGGTATGACCCCTTTTTGATAGGTGAGGAGAGAAGGCTCAGGGACAGTGAGTTACTTGGCCAATGTCACAAAGCTAGTGAGTGACAGGAGGGGATTTAAACCCAAGTACTGTGCGCATAATTGCATGCATACTAAGGCACTGCTGGTCATCTTGGGGCCCAGCTCTGAGCAGGAGGTTTGGAGACTTGTCCCAAGAGCAAAGGCTGGGGGAGGAGAAGCTGCTGGAGCTTTCTGTGTAGGGGCTTAGAGATGTCAAAACCCACTCTGTCTAATGGCTGTTTGCTTTCCTTCTTTCCTTTCCTTCTCCTTGTCCTCTTCTTCTTCCTCCTTCTTCCATTTTTGTTGAATGACAATATTTGATTTTCTTATAAAGAAGCCTTTCTGCCTTAGAAAGAGTCTTTTAAATATAGAATTGGAAATATACTGCTCTCTCTGTGACAGCTCACAATGAATACAGCAGAGGCAGATCCACCTCCCCCCGATCCCAAAGGGAAACTGGCTTGGGATTTTTCCGTTGGCTTTTGAAAAAAATTATTTATTTACTTTTTTTGGACCAGGTAATGCATTCACAGGGTTCAGAAATCAAAAGTTACAAAAAGGAACACAGTACAAGTCTCTCTCATTCCCCTGCCACCTGCCACCTGGTTTCCCTGCCTAGAGGCAACTGAGGTGCCCCAGTTTCTTGTGTATCTTTCCAAAGATGTTTTATGCAAATATAAGCATACCCATTATATATACATATCTTTTTTTATGCTTATTTTCTTAACCCTTGAGTTGCAGACAGACTATAGTCTTCCGTCTCTGGCTCTCTCGCCCCTGAGTGCCTCAGGAATAGTGGAGGCCTGCTGAGATCCTGGTAGCACCGGGTTTTCCTCAGTTTCCAGGCCCATTTTCATGGCAGCCCTCCCCCTCCCCCGTCCCAACTGCACACAACTCTTTAGGCTCTTTTCAAAGTCGTATTTGTGATAATTCGTCAAGCACTCACAATAGTCTATGAAGTGTAAGAATCATTTGTCTCACTTTATGGGTAGGGAAACAGACCCAGAAGGGTCGAGTAACTTGCTGAAAAGCACACAACTAATGTCCTTATGTGCTGAGGGCCTGGGAGCAGTGTGGCTTGGTCCAGATTGGACTTTGGAAGCAATAAGAAAGTTGTTTACTCCGAAGTCACAGTTTAAAAATATTTCAGTGGCACTAGGTGTGGAGCAGTGGAAAAAGTAAGGAAAGTTGCAGTTTCAGCTGGGTTTGCTTCCTGCCTCTGCCCCTTGCAACTGGGCAAGTTCCTTCACAGTTTGTAGCCTCAGTTTGCTAATCTATAAAGTGGGGATTATAATACCTACCCAGCAGGGTGGAGAGTGACATATTATAAAAGAAAGTGATTTGTAAAGTGGGGCATATTCCAATGCTTGCTTTGCATTATTATTATGGTTATTATGGCTGGTCCTTGCAAGCACAAAGGTAGCTGTTTCCTGAAGCCGGGGCAGGCTCACCCTGGGTATGAAGTTGCCCCGCCCTCAAGCCAACAAATCTAAAAAAGACCCGCTCTGGCCTAGTGATTTGTAAATCAGGAGCCCTCCACCTGGACCAATCTTTCTTTCTAGCTCAGAACCTCCTGGGTGGTTAGAACTGCCCCAGGGTCTGAGCACAAACTATTCCTCAGTGGGTGTCTTGAATTTACTTTGATCTGGAACTTCCCCTACAGATCGGTTCTTCTTTTTTTTTTTTTTTTAAGTTGATTTTCCCAATTACAAAACTAGAATGTGCTTACTGGAGAAAATCTGGAAAATATTGAAAAGTAGAAGGAACAAAAATTAAACCATCCCTACACATTCCTCCTTCAAAGAAGCCTGCTTCGGTTGATATTTTGGTGTATTTCCTTTCAGTCTTTTTTACCCGCAGGCACTTATGATAATTCTTAGCAAAACAATTTTTTTTTTTACAGATTTATTGAGGTATAACTGTTATACCAAAAGCTGCACATATTTAATGTGTACAATTTGATGACTTTAGACTGTGTGGAGCAACTCTTAATCTGTCTTGCTGATTTTGTGAATGCTGTGTCCACCTTTGGGTATTTCAATTTTAATTTTTAAAAACTTGAAATTATTCCGGGGTGCCTGGGTGGCTCAGTCGCTTAAGCGTCTGACTTTGGCTCAGGTCATGATCTTGTGGCTCAAGAGTTTGAGCCATGCATCCGGCTCTGCGCTGACAGTGCAGAGCCTGCTTGGGATTGTCTCTCTCCCACTCTGTCTCTGCTCTTCCGCCTTTCTCTCAAAATAAATAATAAACTTAAAAAAGAGTCAACTTATTTTTAAAAAGTTAAAATTATTCCTAGTTTTATCTATGGGATTATTTTTAGCCTAGTTTTAAAAAAGATTTTTTAAATGTTTGTTTATTTTTGAGAGAGAGAGAGAGAGAAGCGCGTACACGCAAGTGGGGGAGGGGCAGAGAGAGAGAGGGAGACACAGAATCCGAAGTGGACTCCAGGCTCTGAGCTGTCAGCACAGTTCCCATGGGGCTCGAACTCATGAACCATGAGTTCATGACCTGAGCCCAAGTCGGATGCTTAACCTACTGAGCCACCCAGATGCCCTTAGTTTAATTTTTTTTTTGTTTAAAAAAAATTTTAATGTTTATTTATTCTTGAGAGAGACAGAGACAGAGTGTGAGCAGGGGTGGGGCAAAGAGAGAGGGAGACACAGAACCCAAAGCAGGCTTCAGGCTCTGAGCTGCCAGCACAGAGCTAGACATGGGGCTTGAACCCGCGAACAGCGAGATCATGACCTGAGCCAAAGTCAGACACTTAACCGAGCCACCCAGGTGCCCCCTTAGCTTAAGTTTTTAAATAGATTTTATTTTTAAGTAATCTCTACACCCAACATGGGGCTGGAACTCACAACCTTGAGATCAAGAGTTGCATGCTCCACCGACTGAGCCAGCCAGGCACTCTAGCCTAACATTTTCAACAAGAACCAAATAAAAAGGAATCCTGAAGGCCATTGAGGTGGTGCACTGTCAGGAACAAGCCTGGCCTCTGGGATGTCCAGCAGCGGGTCAGTGCTACAGCTTGCTTTGGTGCTGTTGGTCAGAGGTCGGCCTAAGACAGCAGTAGTTAGTTAAGGTGAAAAGAAGGTGGCATTGGCCGTCCAGTGGAAAAAAGTTCCTTTTCATTCAGGTCTGTTCTCCTTGAAAGGAAAATGGATCACTAGCATTTACCACTTTACCAGGTGGTTACCTCTTAGGGATGAGGCCTTCACAGGAATTTGGGTGATGGCTTTGGACGTGGATCGCTGGTATAGAGGACCCCCCCACACCCCTACACCCCGCAACCAGATTAAGCAAGCCTTTGAGACAACAAACCTTGCTGGGTGGTCTCTTGTAGGCTTGGAATTCAGACTTCCCATTTTACCTTCCTTGGCCTCCCCCACCCCCAACTGCCTCATTCAGTGCCTCCACCCTCTTATTTTTTTTTTAATCCCCCTTCTTTTGGGTATAAGTAAAACTGCCCTTAAGCTGAGCATGTATAATTAGAATAGTGGGCATTTGGAGTGACTGGTATTCCTAGCCAACCAGGCGCCCCAATGTTGTTTAATAAAAGCTTGGCTATTCCCATCCTGGATACGGTCAAGGCTTTTTCCACTCCCTTCTGCGGAATGCCCATCCCCCTCTCTGTGGCCTGGAGAAGTACAACTCACCCTAAGAGGCCTGGCTCAAATATCACCCCCTTTAAAATGCTCCGTGATGCTGTCCTGGCTGGGCAAGTGGCTCTTTCCTCAACACTCCTACACCTCTGGATTCATGCTGGTAGCAGAGCGGAAATATGTCGGAATCTGGTTCTTTCCCTCCTCTTTTGCCCTGTCTGGGAGTTCCTAGATGGCCAGGATGGGGCTGCATTCTTGTCTCCTATCCTAATCCCAGGAGTGGAAAGAGCTTCATAAATACTTGGTGAATCAAATCATGAAATCATATTTTGCTGTCCCTTCTGCTTTAGCACTCTCTCTCTCTCTCTTTTTGTCTGTTATTCCCCATCCACATTTTGCCACCTTCACTCCCTCCCACCCCCAGATTACAGTAAAAATTGTATCCCATTGCAATCAAGTACTGATTATCTACATTTGACAGGCAAGTATCCTAACTATCCATCAAAATGCGCCTCCTTAGATCTGTGAGCCTCCTACCCTTCCCATCCCTAAAGGGCTCCCAGGGAGGGGAATAGCTTCTCCCCATAGGGCCAGCAGCGGGACCTCTCCCTGGTTGCTGTGCCCGTCTTTTCTGGAGTCCTGGATGAGCCCCTGGCACAGGACAGCTTGGACCTTCTGTCCCCAGGACTTAGAGGGGACACACCAGTTCCTCAGGGAGGGGTCGGGGATCCCGCACTCAGAGTCAGCTTCCCAGACTGGGCCAGAACAAAACCTGGAAACATCAAGGTTAGTCTTGATACTTCGGTGAGAGGAAATGTCCAGAACTGTGTGCACTGTCAAGAGCACTTTACAAGAGGATGATGGGACAAAGAGGTAGGTTTTCAAAGATTTTATTAAAAAACAAAATAGATCCATAATCCTAAAAACAACACAGGTAGATTTCTCCCCACCTCCCATTCTGCCAACCCATCCCCCTCCCCTAAAGACTCCATCCGGAAGGTACTGAAGCCCAAACCCTGCCTCTTGGTTCTCCCCACCCCGCAAACCTGTGACCCAAGCTCCACACTTTCCTCCAGCCTCTGATGTCTCCTTTAAGAAAATAAAAATACTCCCTCCCCACTCGCTTAAAAATAATTTTCGAAGATTAAAAATGGCATTTGTGTGTTTTTAAAAAATAAACACTTTAAATGCTGGAAATCTCTCTCTTCCCCTAGGCCTAGTTGAGGCCTCTGGGGTGCTTGCCTGCCTCACCCCAGGAGGCCAGCTGCCACATGGTGCCCCTTGGAAATTTTCAGGAAGTAATTTCTTCCAAATTTCCCCTGCAGTCACAAATTCCACACACTGCTCGCATAAACACGCTGTCTTCATTACAGGCACTGTTCCTCAGCTCTGGAAACCTGATCTCTTTTTGTCAACTAGACCACATGCTTCAGATTCCCTGCAAACAGGAGAGAAAACAAAATTCAGGTAACATACATGAATTATACCTCGATAAAGCTTTTTTTTTTTTTTTTTTTTTTTAAAGCATTTGCACTGGGGACTTGTTCTCTTGCTGCTGTTGGGAACACAGGGACCCTGACATATGAACAAGCCCAGGCTAGCCTCCTGGATGGTGAGAGACACATGGTTCAGTTACCCTCACAACCACCAGTTACCCACCAGACAACTGAGTGAGGCCTTTGGCAGCCAGCTGACTGCAGTGTTGGGTGAACCCTGCCAAAACCAGCAGAAGAACCGCCCAGCTGAGCCCAGCCCAATTGCCAATCCACAGAGTCATGGGCTAAACAGATGATTATTTAAGACACACACACACACACACACACACACACACACACACAAATTCAGGCAACTTTTCAGAATTCACTCTTCACTAACTGCATCAAATCTTCCCCCACTCTCAACATTTCTTCCTGACTTAGCAGGCCACAACACTTCTAGCAGTTTCTCTTGTGATGACCCATGAAATATGAATTGGGAGCTTCCCCCCTCCCCCGCACTCAGGCCTAAGAGTCTTTTAGGGATAAGTGAGCACTTGAAATCCTATAGGACTGAGCTCCAGGAATGAAAAATTTGCTCACTTGGTCTCTCCACAGCTTTCTTCTTGCCCCACTTCCCCAAACACTGGGCTCCAGACACTACTGACAGCTTCTCCTCTGAAACAGGAAGAATGCCCCATGAAGGCAGGTACCTGGGCTGTCTTACATTTAAAAAATTTTTTTAAATGTTTATTTATTTTTGAGAGAGAGAGACAGAGTCAGAGTGTGAGCAGGGGAGGGGCAGAGAGTGAGAGGGAGACACAGAATCCAAAGCAGGTTCCAGGCTCCAAGCTGTCAGCTGGGGCTCGAACTCATGAGCTGTGAGATCATGACATGAGCTGAAGTCAACACTTAACTGACCAAGCCATCCAGGCACCCCTGTCTTACTGTCTTTTTAAGTTTATTTATTCATTTTGAGAGAGAGGGAGGGAGACAGAGAGATAGGGAGAGAGAGAGCTCTCATGTTGTCAGCACAGAGCCCAACACAGAGCTTTATACCATGAACCATGAGATCACAACCTGAGCTGCAATCAAGACTCAGAAGCTTAACCAACTGAGCCACCCAGGCACCCTTGGGCTGTCTTACTTTTGATTGATCTCTAAAGTCTAGTACAGTGCCTCACACACAGCAGGTGCTCAACAAATGGCTGAGTGAATTGAGATAGGAATGAAAGAAAAAACAAATCAGCACCCACTTGCCTATCTAGATTTATGTATGTATGTATGTATGTATGTATGTATGTATGTATTTTGAAATCTCTACATCCAACGCAGGGCTCAAACTCACAACCCTGAGATCAAGAGTTGCATGCTCTTCTGGCTGAGCTAGCCAGGCACCCTCTAGTTTTATTTTTAACTTAACATACAAGAAAATTTATTTGTATGGATAGTTCTATGATTTTTAACACATGTATAGATTTATGACACAGAATAGTCCCATTACCCTCTAAAATTCCCTAAGCTATCCCTTGGCAGTCACATCCTCTCCTTCCTCTCTTACCACCTGGCAATCACTGATCTATTCTCCATCACTATGTGTTGTCTTTTTCAGAATGTCATTTAAATGGAATAAAAACACAGTGTAGGGACACCTGGGTGGCTCAGGCAGTTAAACGTCCAACACAGGTCTGGTCATAATCTCGCGGTCCTTGAGTTTGAGCCCCGCATTGGGTTCTGCACTGACTGCTCAGAGCCTAGAGCCTGCTTCAGATTCTGTGTCTCTCTCTCTCTCTGCCCCCCCCACTTGTGCTCTCTCTCTCTCTCTCTCTGAAAAATAAACATTAAAAAATTTAAAAAACCACAGTGTATAACCTTTTATGATTGCCTTCTTTCATGCAGCACACTTCCTTTGTGTGTCATGCAAACTTGTAGGTGTATCAACAACTTATTCCTTTTTGGGGGAGTACTTAACTTTTTAATTTTTCAATTATTATAGATTTATAGGAAGTTGAAAAAAAATACCAAGAGGTACCCTTCAATAAGTTTCTTCCAGTGGCAACATCTTTCATAATGATTATTTAAATATCAAACCCAGGAAATTGATATTGGTACAATTCACAGACCACATTCAGATTTTACCAGTTTTACATGCACACATTTGTGTGTGTGTGTGTGTGTGTGTGTGTGTGTGTGTGTCTGTTTCTGTGTTTGTAAATGTACAGTTCTCTGCAGTTTTATCACATGTAGATTTGTGTAATCCCCACCACAAGAAGATACAGAATGTTATCCCATCACCACAAGGATTCCCCTCATGGTACCTTGTTACAGTAACTCCCCCCTAATCTCTAACCTCTAACAATCAATCTGGTCTCCAGTTCTATAATTTTGTATATGACCTTTTGAGACTGGCTTTCTTTCATAATTTTTTTTAAAAATACGTATTCATTTTTGAGAGAGAGAGAGACAGAGCATGAGCGGTAGAGGGGCAGACAGAGAGGGAAACACAGATCCAAAGCAGACTCCAGGCTCCGAGCTGTCAGCACAGAGCCCAATGTGGGGCTCAAACTCATGAACCGTGAGATCATGACCTGAGCCAAAGTTGGACGTTTAACTGAGCCACCCAGGCGCCCCCGAGATTAGCTTTCTTTGCTCAGCATATGGCCCTTATAATCCATTCAAGTTGTATGTTAAGTTTGTTCCTTTTTACCGCAGAGTAGGATTCCATGGTCTAGATGCACCAGAGTGTGCATCACCCATTGAAGGGCATCTGCATTGTTTCCAATGTGGGGCTATTACACATAAAGCTGCTATGGACATCCATGTAGAAATTTTTGTGACCATAGTTTTCATTTCTCTGGGATAAATGCCCAAGAGAGCAATTGCTGTATCATATGGTAGTTGCATGCTTGGTTTGATAAGAAACTGTCAAACTGTTTTCTAGAGTGGTCATACCATTGTGCATTTCCACCAGCAATGTATAAGGGATCTAGTTTCTCAGCATTTTTGTCAGCATTTGGTGGTTTCACCAGTTTTTATTTTGGCCATTCCTATATGTGTGTAGAGATCTTTTACTGTGGTCTCAATTTGCATTTTCCTAATGGTGAATGATGTTGAACATCTTTTCATGTGCTTATTTGTGGTCTGTATATCCCCTTCATGTCTTTTGCTGATTGGATTTTTTTTTTACTGTTGAGTTTGGAGAGTTCTTTATATATTCTAGATACACATCTGTTGTTAGGTGCACGATTTGAAAATATTTTATCTCAATATGTAACTTGTCTTTTTGTTCTCTTAACTGTTGCAAAACAAAATTTAATTTTTTGGATCACGGTTTTGGTGTTTTAAACCCTTAGGGCTCATCATCTCTGGATAATCTTTGATTCTTCATCTCTTGGTTCAAGCCTCCTCCACATCTAATGATTTGCCAAGCCTAATCTCAAGATGCCTCTCAACTTTGTCCTCCCCTTCTTTTAAAATTTTTTTTTTCAACGTTTATTTATTTTTGGGACAGAGAGAGACAGAGCATGAACGGGGGAGGGGCAGAGAGAGAGGGAGACACAGAATCGGAAACAGGCTCCAGGCTCTGAGCCATCAGCCCAGAGCCTGACGCGGGGCTCGAACTCACGGACCGCGAGATCGTGACCTGGCTGAAGTCGGACGCTTAACCGACTGCGCCACCCAGGCGCCCCTGTCCTCCCCTTCTTTTTTTAAATGTTTATTTATTTATTTTGATCCAGAGAGAACTAGAGGGAGCAAGTGGGGGAGGGGCAGAGAGAGGGAGAGAGAGGGAATCCCAAACAGGTTCTGTGCTGTCAGCCCAGAGTCCGACACTGGGCTCAAACTCATGGACCGCTTGATCATGTCCTGAGCCCAAGTCGGATGCTTAACCAACTGAACCACCCAGGCGCTCCTCCCCACCTCCGTCTTCTCCTTTCTATTCCACCCTCCCCAACTTAGTCACATATCTCATCACTCAGGTCACTGCAATAGTCTCTTAACTGCTGCTCCTGCCTCTGGAGCTGTCCCGCACACCATTGGTAGCTGTGTTCACATGCCTTCCCTGCTCCAAAAATCCTTCAACAGCTCCTCACTACCTATAAATGAAGTCCAACTCCTTAGCTTAAATTTGCCCCATCCATACTTTCCCATCTCCATGTGGGCCTTTGCTTGTATTGTTGCTTCTTCTGAGGAAAACCTATAGGGGATCCTGATGCTGAAGCTAGGGGTCCTTGCATCTGTAAGTGTAGCCAGAGCTTGATGACTGAGTGAATGCACAGATAAACAAAATTTCATGTCTGAGTACTCCAACAACACATGTTCACAGAAAGGAAAGGTGGGTGCTCTATTCTCTGCTGTTCTGTCTCAGTCTCCAGTTACATTTGGAGGCAATTAAGAAAAACAACAGAAATAATTTCCACCAAAAGTTGATGATGAGCAATATTGAGTTTGGGTAACAATAAAAATGTAAGCTTAAATAATGCCCATTGTTTCCCCCCTACATCTAGCTTTTCCAGCAGTGGGTGGCAGCCTGAGAAAATTCTAAAGGCCAGCATGGTCTAGGGCCTGGGAAGACAGAGTATAGACCAGAGGAGGCAAATGTAAATGCTTATAGAAGTCAAGGATGTACTGTATGTGAGTAAAGCATATTTAGGGCAAGACATATGGAGCCTTCTTGATCCTTTGTTCTTTTTCTTACTTTCAATCATGACCTGAATAGAAGCAATAGTTCCCTCTTTTCTTACTTCTATTACAAAAGAAAACAAAAGCAAAACAGCATATGTGAGATGATAAATGGAAATTCACACTTGGCGTATGGTAGGAGATGCAGCAGGGAATGGTGGGGTTTGTGGCAAAGAGGAAGGTACATTTTCACAAAAGAGGCAGCTGCTACCCAGTCTCACATTTACTACTGAGCAGGAAGTTGGTCCTAGTGTGACCAGATCTATTTTCCAAGAGAGATTAAAACTTCACACTTTTAAAAAGTATATTTATTTTGAGAGAGAAAGAGAAGGAGAGGGACAGAGACAGAGAGGGAGAGAGAATCCCAAGCAGGCTCCATGCAGTCAGCACAGAGCCCGATATGGGGCTCGAATTCATGAACTGCGAGATCATAACCTGAGCTGAAATCAAGAGTTGGATGATTAAAAAAAAAAAAAAAAAAAAAAGGATGCCTGGGTGGCTCAGTCAGTTAAGCCTCCAACCTTGGCTCAGGTCATAATCTCACGGTTTGTGGGTTCAAAGCCCTGCATCGGGCTCTGTGTTGACAGTTGAAGCCTGGAGCTTGCTTTGGATTCTGTGTCTCCCTCTCTCCCTGCCTCTCCCTTGCTCATGCTCTGTCTCTCTCTCCTTCTCAAAAATAAAATAAAAACATTGAAAAAGAAGAATTGGATGCTTAACTGACTGAGCCAACTAGGTGCTCCAGAAATTCACATTTTTATGTAAAGTTTCTGCAGTGTTAAATATGGAAAATTGATTTACACTTAAAAATTTTTTTAAAATGTTTATTTATTATGGAGAGACAGAGAGAGACAGAGCATGAGCATGGGAGGGGCAGAGAGAGGGGGAGACACAGAATCTGAAGCAGGCTCCAGATTCTGAGCTGTCAGCATAGAGCCCGACGCGGGGCTGGAACTCATAAACCACCAGATCATGACCTGAACCAAAGTCAGAGGCTTAAC